ACTCTGAGATAATATATTTTTTTGTTGTTTTAAGCCATTAAGTTTGTGGTAACTGATCACAGTAGCCATAGAAAACTAATATATTTGTTTTTTGTTGTTATTGTTTGTTTGTTTTTAAGATGTAGTCTTGGTCTGCTGCCCAGGCTGGAGTGCAATGGCGCAGTCTCAGCTCATTGCAACCTCTGCCTCCTGGGTTCAAGTAATTCTCCTGCCTCAGCCTCCCAAGTAGCTGGGACTACAGGCACACACCACCACACCCAGCTAATTTTTGTACTTTTAGTAGAGGCGGGATTTTACCATGTTTGCCAGGCTGTTCTCAAACTCCTGACCTCAAGTGACTCACCTGCCTCGACCTCTCAAAGTGTTGGGATTACAGGAGTCAGCCATGGTGCCTGGCCCTAATATATTTGTTTTGTTTTTAGCCTTTCCTCTGCACTGTCTCTTTTCTATTCAAATGATTAATAACCTTCAGGCCAAATCCAAGGATCATAGAACATATTCACCCTCCCTCGATTATGGCCTGAGAGACCGGAACATAAGTGAAATGCCATTGCCTGTAGTTCTAAAGCCTTGCAATAATTTCGTTAATGTCTATGAAATACTCAGCACAGCACCCTAGGGAAGTTAAAAATTGGGACGATACATACAGCAAAGTTCTTGGGAATACACAGAAGGCACCTGTGGTGATCAAGTGACTGCTGAAAAGAGAAGACAGAGGGATTGAGAGACACAGGAAGTGAACAGCAGATTAAGCAGGAGGTAGAGGAAGTTTAAGGGATTCATTTTGAGAAAGAAGAAAAAGAAAAGGATAGAAAACAGAGAGAGGAAAAGAATGTGGCAAAAATAAGATCTCTCAGGAGATCTGGTGTCTTGACCATAATAAGCACCCAACAAGTATTTCTGGAATGACTGATTTGAGGGACTGTGATTTCTTCCGAGAGGAAAACCAGGAAATAAGCTAATTCTATTTAATGTACATTTTAGACATGATTACAGTCTAAATAAAATTTTACATTTTCTAGAATTCCATTCCACAGAAGTTGATTAATTACGTGCGAATTCTAAGTAACTACTGATAAGGGATCTACCAAGTCTTCAGAAAGCATTCAAATTTGGAGTGTAAACAAATGTTTTTAATTACTCTTTCACTCATTTTATAGAAAAGACTTTGGGCTTGTAACTAAATGTTTTATAATTAAAACAACCAATACTCATTCTGAATATTACTTGATTGTCAGAAATACTGAGCCAGAGCTCAATTTATACCAGAGTGAACCCCGACATGAGCTCAATGATTGAGTCAGACATTGAAAGCCTTCCCATCACTGCAGAGCACATAGACAATGTCAGTCCAGTGTGTCAGAAATCTGACTTTCAGAAAAGCTGCCACCTTTTCTAGGCACTCTGGCCCTCCACCCTCTTTAAAATGCTATCCGAGAAAACAGTGGAGAGAGTCACAGGATAACTGTGCTGTAGACCCGGACAATAACCAGGCCAGAGTTAGGAGGACTGGAGGCCCCCAGAGGAAGGGCTCAGGAAGAGGGAGACCCCACAGATAATGTGATGAAACATTTGGAAAGCATTAGGAACATCCGGATAGAAAATTAGATCAGTGAAACAATAAGGCAAGTATGCAAAGCCAAACAAAAATCTTCAAAAGGAAATGCAGTCATATTTCTCTATTAAGCTGTGCAGCGAATCACATTTACATCACCGGCATGATGAGAACACTGGTTATCATTTGATCAGAAGTAATGATGTTATCAGGTTGGGTGAATGGGGAGAGCTGCGGGGGTTGTAACAAAGACAAATCTTCGCTATTTATCAGAAAACAATGATGTTATCAAATTGGGAGAATGGGGAAAGTTGAGGGGACAGTGATAACAGAGCCAAATCTCTGTCAATCCAATTGTCTATCAAAACAGGAAGCCCACGGCTTGGAGCCTACCGGGCTTGAGAGCCCCGCTGAGGAGCCCAGAGGTTGAGACACAACTGCGGCCGCGTCCCCTCCTGGTCCCCGGCCACCTAGCCATCTGGCCACATGGCTAGGGAGGCGGCGCCAAAGCAGCCCACGGAGCTCCAAGCGACGCTGCTGAGCCCGGTTTCCCAAAGCGGCGACGACACTGCCCCCTTCCCCGCCCGGCTCCCGGCCCCAGGCCCTGGGACGCCAAGTCTCCTCCGCGACCCTGCAGCAGCCTGCCCCGCCTGGCTGCCAGAGGCACCTTCCAACCCCAAAGCACATTTTTCAACACATAATAGAAGCATTATCAGAGGGGGACACATTTAGAAGTTGTTCTTAATCAGAGGGAAGCTTGTGCTTAGGAAAGCCAGCCTCACTCCTCCGCTCTCAGCACCCAGTCTCCAGGTTCCTCCTGGGTGAAGACGGACCAGCCCACCTTGGCCCTCTGGAAAGCTGGAACACTATGTACACGTTTCCTAAACTATGAAGAGAAGATTCGGGAGGAGTCATGAGCAACTCCTCAGTACCAAACTAGCAGAGCAATACGAATCGTTTGTGAAATTCATACATGACCATGTGGGACAAGCTCACCAAACTGTGTCTTGAAGATTTTTGGTGCAGATCTTGGTACCAGGTTTGACCTCAAGGCATGGTTGCTATACATTTTCTGCAACTGTTTGATCCATATTTCAGCTCCAACTTTCCATCCTGAGAACATTCCAACGTTTCTGCAGGTCCGTGTTATAAGACTTGAAAGACGTTAAAACTTTCTGGTTGCCCCAAGTATATCTTCTTTTTTATTATTATTATTATTTTGAGACACAGTCTTGCTCTGTTGCCCAGGCTGGAGTGCAGTGGCACAATCTTGACTCACTGCAATCTCCGCCTCCTGGGTTTAAGCAATTCTCCTGCCTCAGCCTCCAGAGTAGCTGGGACTACCGGTGCATCACCATGCTCAGCTAATTTTAGTATTCTCAGTAGAGACGGGGGCTTCACCATATTGGTCAGGCTGGTCTTGAACTCCTGACTTCATGATGCCTGCATTAGCCTCCCAAAGTGCTGGGAGTACAGACGTGAGCCACCCTGCCCTGCCTATCTTTCTTTTCTGTTCATCCAATAAATGGCCATAACCTACTGTGACAGATTTTTCCAAACAAAAAAACCTGGAGCAGCAGTTTAGCAAAATATACCTCCAGTGGCACTCAACAAATAGAGTTTTCCCTCTAAAGGGAAAAGGTTTCCCCTGGAGCAGGAGCATCAGGGTTTGCTCGGGGGCATAACATAGGTGAGCACTGGGCTGAGGCAGGCTCCACTGGCACTGCTAATTGCAGAAGCACTTTACCTTTGTATCTGTGATTTTAAAAAAATTTTGAATAATTTGGTTAGGTTCCCCCAAATAGGCATCCACATTTAAGTGCTTGAGCTTTTGTGTTGGCAACCCCCTGCCCAAGGTTGCTAACAGGTTATTCTTTCCCTTGTTTCTGCAGCTGAGGCACAGAAAGTAGCCTCTTGTGAGGAGTTAAGTATACATTTATTTTTTTACCGTGATTTGTTCAGGACCACATTTTACAAAATACCTTGTTTCCTTTAGTATTGTTTATGGAACATTCTATTCATATTATCTTAGTTTGAATACAGAATAGTTTTTTTTTTTTTTTAATGAGGGCTTATTTTGAAAAATTCTGAGCTTAGTTCAAATGTATGCCAATACCTTCCCAAATAAGGTAATAGTCAAAAACAGTTGTTTTCATCAAATGACTTAGAGATAGTCATGGAATATTCACATTCAAAAATTCCTTATTAATGAAAGTCTTTGACTTAAATCTACCCAGGTACTTGGGAGGCTGAGATAAAGGACTGCTTGAGCCCGGGAGGTGGAGGGTGCAGTGAGCCAAGATCACACTACTGTACTCTATCCTGGGCAACACAGTGAGACCCTATCTCAAAAATAAAGTAAAATAAAACTGGCAAAATAAGAAATGACCATGTAAGCCTATTACTGAGAAGGATGAAGATAAATACTAGAAGAAACAGATACAAAAGCTAAAAATACTTGCCTTGGAGAGAGAGATTTTTCAATATTATTTCATTTTTCATTTATGTGTATCAGTTGAATAATTATTATTATTTATTTCACCAGGCTGAACAATGAATACCCTCACCTAAAGACATTCATGCCCTAAGCCTCTGAATCTGTGAATATATTACTTTAAATGCAATAGGATTTGGCACATGTGATTAAGGATTTTCTCTTGGATCATTTGGTAAACCAAAGGTAATCAATCACAGGAGACCTTCTATGAGAGAGGCAGGACAGTCAGAGTTGGAAAGGAGATATGATGATGGAAGCAGAGGATGAAATGATGAGACTGCTGGCTTTGGAAATGGAAGAGGGCCACAAGTCAAGGACTGAACAGCCTCTAGAAGCTGGAAGAAGCAAAGAATAGGATTCTCCCCTAGAGCAGTCCCCAACCTTTTTGGCATCAAGAACTGGTTTCGTGGAAGCCAGTTTTTCCATGGACCAGTGGCTGGGGGGGATAGTTTTGGGATGAAACTGTTCCACCTTAGATCGTCAGGCATTAGTTAGATTCTCATAAGGAGCACACAACTTAGATCTCTCTAATGCACAGTTCACAACAGAGTTTTGCTCCTACGAGAATCTAATGCCACTGCTGAAGTGATGGAAGGTGGAGCTCAGGTGGTAATGCTGGCTAATCTGCTGCTCACTTCCTGCTGTGCCACCTGGTCCCTAATGCCATAGACTTGTACGGGTCCATGACTCGAGGGTTGGGGACCCCTGCCCTAGAGCCTTCAGAAGGAACACAGTCCTGCCAATCCATTTTAGACCTCAGCCTCTAGACCTGTAAAATAAAACATTTTTGTTTTAAACACTAAATTTGTATTGTTACAACAGCAAAAGGTGACCAGTTGTAAGAATGTTATATAAGAAAAATAAAACATGGTAAGACAGAATTATAGAAAACATACCAACTGCTGAGAAAGTAATTCATATGAAGGAATAATCTGAATTGGAAAAGGATGACAATTTCAATATATTTATTATGGTTTTGTGAATCCTCATGATGCATCAGGACGAAGTTAGGTAACTTAAAGCCAGTCCCTTTTGAGTCATGCATAGCCATATTCTAATATTATTTACCACATGTACTTTTTCCTATTCTCGCTTCCCTTTTTTTCTTTCCCTTTCCTCTGTGTGTCATCCCTGTTCCCGTCACTGATACTCTGTTGGGGTAGCCACCTGGCTCAAATTACAGTGATTCCATCATATCCTGGAATTGTCCCTGAAGCAGTCAGAGCTTTCCAGACAGAGATATGTAGATATATCTATAGCTGTCTAGATTTAATGAATTGATTCACACAATTGTGGAGACCAGCAAGTCCAAAATCCATAGATCCACAGGGCAGGCCGGAAGTGCTGCAGGAGTTGCAATCTCGAGGCAGACTTTCTTCTTCACCAGGAAACCTCAGTCTTTGCTTGCGAAGCCTTCAACTGATTGGATGAGGTCACCTACACTATTGTGGGTATTCACCTTTACTTAAAGTCAACTGATTGCAGGTGTTAACCACATATACAAAATTCCTCTACGTCCACATTTAGAGTTGGATTAAATAGCTAGTTACCACAGCCCAGCCAAGCTGATGCATAAAATTAACCATCACGGGCACTTTGAGGGGTGAGTACAGGCATCATGGTTGTGCTCTATGACTTTATCTCCTGGCTCCTAGATGGCTAGTCTAATAGCGGACACATGACTCCCACCAAACCATTCAGAGCTTCAACCCAAGATTTACTAAGGAAACTGGAAAAACAAAACCAAAAGACAGCCCTCTCTGGTGTGGTGGCAGCCATGCGGTATGAGGACTGGGAGATATCAGTGGCCATGTGAACAGTCATTCATTCTGAAATGGAGGGAAGTGAAGTAAACCTACAGAAACAGAGACAAGATTTGGAGAAAGAGTCCTGGTTCCAGTTACCACTGAGGCCCAAGTATACTCCTGCATTTTCACTTAACTTTTTTCAATTTTATGATCTGTTGTCTTATGATTCCCCTCCTCACCCTCTTTTGTTTAACAGTGTCTTGCTCTGTTGCCCAGGCTCGAGTGCAGTGGTGCAACCATAGCTCACTGTAACCTTGAACTCCTGAGCTCAAGCAGTCCCTCATGCCTCAGCCTCCTGAATAGCTGGGAGTACAGCTGCAGGCCCTCATGCCTGGCCCTAATTTTTTTTTTTTTAATAAACGAGGCCGAGCACTGTGGCTCACACCTGTAATCCCATCACTTTAGGAGGCCAAGGTGAACAGATCACTTGAGGTTAGGAGTTTGAGACCAGCCTGGCGAACATGATGACACCCCATCTCCACTAAAAATATAAAAATTACCTGGCCATGGTGGTGTGTGCCTGTGGTCCCAGCAACTCAGGAGGCCGAGGCAGGAGAATCACTTGAACCCGGGAGGCAGAGATTGCAGTGAGCCTCAATCCAGCCTGGGAAACAGAGGGAGACTCCATCCCAAAAACAAAAAACAAAAACAAAACTATGATATGTTGCCTGGGCTGGTCTTAAACTCCTGGCCTCAAGCAGTCCTCCCACTTCAGCCTCCCAAAGTGCTGGGATTACAGGCATGAGCCACCACATTGGTCTTTCATTCCCTTTTCAAATTTGAAGGGATATTTTTCTCATCATTCCTTAGCTAGATTGAGCTGGTTTTATGTCACCTGCCACCAAAAGAGTCTCAACTAGGATAGAGGGCATGATATCATTGGGCTATATAGAAATGGTATGTTTCCCTCTCCTTCCGGACATATGGTTTGATTATCTGCTTTGCATAGGTATGACATGTGACTTGCTTTGTCAATGAATTATGAGTGCAAGTATGTCACTTTAACAACCAGTGCAAGATCTGTACCTGGCAGTTACCTGCAGTGACTGTGAAAGCACACGTCACTTGGTGCTTCCTAGGTAACAGTGAGAAGGAAAGAACCTTCTAACGGGTAGGTTCTTAGGTAACAGTGAGGAGAGTACATGTAGCATGAGCAAGCAATAAGCTTTTGTGATGTTATGCCACTAGGATTTTGAGGTTTTCTGCTACTGCAGTATAACCTATCTCTTGATTAACACAGAAGGCACTTTCCTTCATAATACTTTCCCATGATTCATCTTAAAAGAATCAAATTGAGCCAATATAGGCATAATAACAGCACATAAAACAGAGTTCTTGCCCTCCTAGTAAGAAAGACATGCCATTCCAGACTATCCGGAGATTAAGGGAAATATTAAAGTAGTTTAAGCAGAGGAGTTATCACATTTGCCTCCCAGATCATGATTGTTGCACCATGAAGACTGAGTTCAGAGCAGAAAAAGTCTGAATCCATTGAATCTACACTGCAACAATAGCAAGGCGGTAATAATGGCTAGGATTAGGAAAGCAGCAGTGGAAACAGATTTTAAATGAGTGATTCTGAGAAATAATGAGGCAGCAGATTTAGCACAGCCTGGTGAATGAGTGGATGTGTAAGAAGCAGAGAGAAAATTCGAAGCAAACATTTAGATTTCTGGCTTTGGTCATCTGGCTACCATCAGTTCCGTTTGGACATGCCTGGCTTGAGTACAAAACACGCAAGATATGAGATAGGGAATTAAATACATAGATTTCAAGCTTAGGAGTGAGCTTATAGCTAGAAGTCACTAAAATATAGAAAGCAAAGCCACGGGCCTATAAAACCGTGGGTATAGATGAGATCATCCAAAGAATGTGGAGACTAGACTACAGTGATAAGAGCCTTAGAATTCCTTGGAGTGACAATATTTAAGCAAAGACAGAAGCATACAAAGGACAATGAAATAGTTAATGGATGGTATCACAGAAGCCAAGAAAAAAGATTGTTTCAGAAAGGAAAGAATGGTCAACAGCTTCAAATGCTGTTGAAACAGTAACAACTAAGATATCTCTCAAAGTAGGAATGATGTTGGCAAGTTTATTAAGAGTAGTTTCACAGCAGTATTGGGGGTAAAAGTCTAATTATATATGGTTGAAGGTAACTTGGAGGTGAGGAATTGGTGATAAGCTAGCATAGATAATTCTCTCAAAAATTCTCTTCAGGAGAAAGGAGAATTTGAGCAGAAGCTAGGAGGAGGATATGCATGAAGACATTTTAAACAAACGAGAATGCTAATGGCAAGAAACCAGTAAAGAGAGGCTGAAGACACAACAGAAAGAGAATAATTGATGAACCAAAGTCCCTAATAGACAGGAGTAGCCAAGACCTAGAATACATATTGAATGATGGCCTCTATTGTAAAAAGAATGGAGGAAGGAATGAGTATATTTCAAAACTTGTTAGTTTGATTATAAGTAAAAACATGCACTATCTCATATTATTAATTGAATTCTTATAATAAAGTAAGTATAGAAATACAGGGTAATATAAATATCCTGCTTATTAGTACTATTTTCTCTGACTCTCAAGACTCAAACTACCTAGATTCATGGGACCCAGCCAGCCATATCTTGTTTTGGTTAGTGCCTTGTACACTGTCTGAAATACCATAAATATTTCACAAGTGGTAATTGAACCCCATTTCCTTGGCTGACTCTGGATTCAGACAGTAGCTGCTTCATCACTGATGATATCTGATTCTTCTTTTGGCTTCTCTGTTAGTCTGATCTATTCTACCTGCCAGATCCCTCCTGACATTCTAAATATCTTCTGTTCTGGTCTATCTCTACTTCTACCCTTTTCCAGGATAAATCCATCAATTCATGATATAATAATTCATTTTAATGAAGCATATTTTAAAATTAAATCAGCATTCTGAATGAAGAAATTGTGTGTGTACACCCCCCCCCCCCACACACACATTAAAAGAATACAGGAGCCACTTGAAATTGATGCTGAGCATGGGGTAATCCCTCAAAAATAATACAACTTATAAAACTGAACAAAAACTAAAATGGATGTCAATTTTCATAGTGACAAGTACTGACCAAGGCATATTTTCTCAGACTTTGTCCAAGTGTATCAAAGAACATTTTAAAGCATTAAATTGGGTTCTTCACTTACTAGTAATGAAAATGCATAATTTTATTTATAACAAGTATAAAAACTTGTTCAGGATTGAAAGACTGAAAAAACTTCCAGAGAAATAAGGGAATAAAATAGAACAAAGCATATCTATTTCCTTGCTAAGGTAAATATTTCATCTGGAAGATCAATCCAAGCAATGACTTCTAAAAACTGAATACTTAATTATATGCCAATAAGAATCAATTTTGGAGCTAGTTCAGTGATAGGAAGACAATGTAAAATCCTTATCTTAAACCTAAATTAGAGAATACAAAAATACTACACAGCTATACATCCAATTTTATTTAATAAGTATATCACTAAAATTTTCTTAATATATCAAAAAAGATGAAAAGAAACAATATATAAATATTTTCAGCTATATAAATTCAGGGCTTCCATGACAAATAAAAGCTAAAGATTCCATCTTTATCTACATACATTCTTTTTTCTTCACAGAAAAAGTTGATATTCTAATTTAACCCAAAGTGAATGCCGTGATTGGACAATACTTATTCATTGAACAGTTACATTTAATTAATATGTGCCAGATACTGTTCTAAGCACTCCATGGATGTTAGCTCATTTAATCTTAAAACCATGTAATATGGGAAAAAATAAAAATAAAAAAAAAAGAGGGCCGGGCGCGGTGGCTCTCGCCTATAATCCCAGCACTTTGGGAGGCCGAGGCGGGTGGATCACGAGATCAAGAGATCGAGACCATCCTGGTCAGCGAGGTGAAACCCCGTCTCTACTAAAAATACAAAAATTAGCTGGGCATGGTGGTGCGCGCCTGTAATCCCAGCTACTCGGGAGGCTGAGGCAGGAGAATTGCTTGAACCCAGAAGGCGGAGGTTGCGGTGAGCCGAGATCATGCCATTGCACTCCAGTCTGGGTAACAACAGCGAAACTCCGTCTCAAAAAAAAAAAAAAAAACATAAAAAAAAGAAAATTGCTACTTTTCTCCCCACCTCTTCATCCTACCCTATCATATACTGTCAGTAAAAGGACAGCAGAAGTCCAATGAAAAGATATTTAACTTGGACTCAAAAGACTTAAGTTAGTTTCTGGCTCTATTTAGTGTTCTGTGTGACCTTGAACAAGTTATTGAAACCAGAACTTCCCAAACCTGACTGATCCTTGGAATTCGAGGAAGTGTTATTACAGTCACAGATGCCTTGGACTTCCCCCAATATTTTCTAATCCTAAATCTAAATATTTTCTATGTTTAGAGTAGAAGTTGAGAATCTCAATTTCCTTTGAAACTATACCAGTGATACTGATAAGCAGTCACATTTGGGAACCAAATGGTATTATCCTTGAATCGCCTGATAGAAAAAGTATAGAAATATGTATTCCACAAGGGTTGTCGACATGAAGGGAGGAATTATGAAGACCTAAATTGTCATAACCCCACTCTCTACACATTCTCATTAAAATTGTGTTTAGATACTCTAGATGACCCTTTTGTTGTGGGTCATCTGGAATATCTAAGCCCAAACAAACATATCCAGAAGCATATCATACAGGTGACTGTCATCTCCAGCACCTACTTTAAGCTTCTCTCTCCAAGGCATGACATCAAAAATGAAGTGGGAAATTGAGGCAATGGTTCCACCAATTTAAAGTGTAAAACAAAACAAACAACCGGGCACAGTGGCTCACGCCTGTAATCCCAGCACTTTGGGAGGCCAAGGCGGGTACATGATGAGGTCAGGAGTTCGAGACCAGCCTGACCAAGATGGTGAAACCCCGTCTCTACTAAAAATACAAAAATTAGCTGGGTGTGGTGGCACACACCTATAATCCCAGCTACTCGGGAGGCTGAGGCAGGAGAATCACTTGAATCCGGGAGGTGGAAGTTGCAGTGAGCCGAGATCATGCCATTGCACTCCAGCCTGGACAAGAGACTCTGTCTCAAAAAAAACACAAAAACAAAAATAAACAAACAAAAAACTATCTTTATCTGAGTGCACTGAAAATGTGTACAGCCTCCTAAAAAAGTTTCTGAGGTGACTGTATCAGTTTTTTCCCCCAATTCAACCAAACATCACAATATACCTTTTATTCATCCCCAAAATATTTTCTGAGTCCTTATTATGGACACTATGAAGGACACGAAAATTAATAAAACAAAGTGCTTGTCTTCAAGCTGGTAAAGACATAGCCATAAACATAAGAATTGTACTTTTCAGTTTTAAAAACAAGTTTGGCTGAATTTTGGAGATGCTGCAGGCAATCAATAATCAGCCAGAAATGCCCATATTATAAATACATTTTGGCGTAACTGTCATATCAAGCCGGCGACCCTGGTATAAAGTATTAAAAGAAACATGTATTTGAGAATCTCAAGATATGAGTTTAGGTACGCTACTTGTTTGGGTATGCTACTTGACAACTGTAGAGTTTTTAAGTCTTTAAAATCTAGTCTCAGAGGGCTAGTCTTTCAGCACTCTATTTCTTTGAAAAATTTGTATCTCACAAAATTGAGAAAACAAAATAAAATAGTACAAATGTTAAGGCGTCATGGATTTTTTTTTTCTTTTTTGAGACATGGTTTCATTCTGTTGCCCAGGCTGTAGTGCAGTGCAATGATCAGGGGCACCATAGCCTCAACCTCCTGGGCTCAAGGGACCCTCCCACCTCAGCCTCCTGAGTAACTGGGACCACAGGTGAGTGCCACTATGCCTGCCAGGCTTTGTGTGTGTGTGTGTGTGTGTGTGTGTGTGTGTGTGTGTGTGTGTTTTGAACTTTTTTGTAGAGATGAAGACTCTCTGTGTTGTCCAGGCTGGCCTTGAACTCCTGGGTTCAAGTGATCCTCATGCCTCAGCCTCCCAAAGTGCTAGGATTACAGGTGTGAGCCACCACACCCAGTCAAGGTGTCATTTTATAGATAATGCTCATAACTCTAATAAATAATAAAACATGACTTTGAGTTGATTTTTCACCAGTGATGACAAATGGCTATTAACCAATTATTACCTTTTTATCTGGCCCTACAACACAGAGAAGGCTCATTTGTCATTGTCATTACCAGATGTATCATTAATATACATTATATAATAATTTGATAAATTGGTATATAAGTATATAAAAATAAATATGCAAATTACATAGCCAATATATTTAAATGTTTACATTATGCATATACCTTTCTAAAGAGAAATACTGAAGTCACCAACTTAATGGAAAAAATTTCCATCTACTTTAGGGATAGACATTGGACAAAACTTCGCATATATTTCATTACGTGTTTCTGATTAAACACTGATGAGAATGACAGTCTCACAGGAATGTTCACTATAATTGTGTCAAACATTTGACTGTATATAAATTCTATAGGAACTGCATTATTCTATGGGGACATGAGTAATGTTTTCAATACAAAAATTCCACTTAACTGACTGGAGTAGACTAATCATTAATTCTAAAACATGCTCCTGGCAAATCCCTGCCTACCCTGTATTTTCCCCCAAAGCATGTATTAGCTATGAGTAGCACGAACATTAAAGTTGTGGTTACCAAAACCTTTTACTTCCCTCTTTTACTAACTATATTTAATACACAAGGTTTGATCATAAATAGTAAACAGTAAATTCACAAGTCAAGAAAAAAGATCTAAGTGTATTTCCAAACAGGATCCTTCATGTTCTTTCAGTAATCCAGGCAGCAAAGTTAGGAATGGTCATGGGTGCTACTGGATATTAGAGCTAATTATTAATAATATGTACTTACAATTATGCCCTTTCATCCAATACCTCAAAGAGCTTTCATAGCATCAATTTGTCAATTCCTATATCTCTGAGATGTGGCTCACAGACGTTATTATCTCTATTTTACAGTCAAAGAAACTAGGGCATAGAGAGGTTAAGTGACACTGCTAGGGTCATACGGCAAACAACGAACAAAAAACGAACTCAAGCTAATTATTCTCATTTCTTGCTCAGTATATTATCCATTATATCAATGTTCAACACACCTAAATGCTTCTTTATCCTAGGCAAATTGAAAATATTGTACTTAAATAATCTAAGAAGTGAACAAATTTCTCATTGTTGTGTGTGTTCAAAAATGCTGTTCTACAGGGATATAGAGCAAAAACTAATAATTAGTCTTTGGTTTGCAGGTGTAGTTATTATTTATAGGGCTTTTACTATTTGTGGTTTTCTGAAGCCTCTGCTCAAAATGAGCTATTCTATTTCTGACTGATCTGTGCTAGCTTAGCATAGCTGTGAGCCACCGAAAAGCAACCTGACAGGCTGACTAATGCATTTGAGGTTTCTTTCATGGCATTCCTATGGCTTCCTCTTGAAGTCATCCTCTTTCTAGTTCTCCATTCGGCAGACATTTGTGCAACCCACCATCCTCAATCCTTAGCCTATGGCCAGCTTAACTGTTGTCAATGATTAAATTTAAAATATTTTATTGGAATGGAACAATTCCTACAGAATAAAAAAGAAAAAAACTTTAAAATATAAACACAGATTTCATTTTTGAGTTAATGATGCCATACTATTAAGTTACCACTGTTATATCCAGTTTCTGCTAAACCTGATCCTTAGGGTCCTTAGAAGACCACTAAATATTAGAATATTGGTCTATGGATGGGCACGTATCACTCCTATTGGGGTTTTTAATGCAGCACTTCAGTAATTTTCCCAAGTAAAGGCAGGGAGAAAGAAGTGGTTTTGAAACTGTGCTCAATGGCGTTAAGGCTGCAGTCAGCTTGGATGTGGTAACGTGAACCTGTGGTGTTTCCAACTTCAGCCCAGCTCTTCCCCAGAACTCTAGACCCACATATCAACCACCATTAGACAGCACCACTGTTACCTCACACATCAGTTCCAAAACTAAACTCATTTTTTCCTGCAAAAATGACTGTCCCTCCCAGGACTCATCCTGACACTTCCTTATCTTACTTGGTAAAATACACCCTTACCTTACTCCTCCCTCAAAGCAGAACAAGGCATCATCATTGCCTCTTCCATTCTCCTATCCTGCAGCTGCCCCTAGCAACCAAGTATTAGTTGATCTGGTCTCTTGAATATTTTAGGAATCCATCTCCTTTGGATGTTCACAGCCACTCACACAAGGGTCCTTAAGTTTTCTCTTCTTGACTTCTGCAATGACCCCTTGTCCGCTCTCTGCTTGCCCTTCTCCTTCCCCTCCTCCCACCACCAAGTTATCTGTTCTCTAACAACAGAATAGCTTAAACTGTAGTCTGTCCACTCATCGCCTCACCAGGGCATAGATGATCCATGATTCGGCTCCTGTTGTCATCTCCAGCCTCATCTTTTTCAGCAACCTAAGTTTGAACTTTAAGACCTGTAATTATTACTGATGCTTCTTCTCAACATATGATTTGTCCCCGTGCTGGATTTCCTTTCTGTTCAGATCCGGATTTGCCATCCCACTCCTATTTTTGTAGTGGAAAAATGCCCATTTATCTTGAAAACTCTAACCCACAGTTAGTAAAGCCATCCATTCATTACTCTGTACACCTTGATATACCATACTTCCAATCTCAATTATTTGCTTTTATGTCTGTCTGCCCACTAGATTGGACATTCCTTGAATGACTCATGCCAGGAATGTAGTTGGTATTCAATCTGTGAGGAGCAAAGAGAGAGAAACGAATATATAAATGTCAAGACATGAGAGTCTGTAGCTGCTAACTTAAATTTACGGATTTAGTGAAACTACCTCTCACAAGCTACCAAATCAGTGCCACGGGGCCGCACGATGATCTCAGTGCCACACCGACACCCGGCCTGCAGTGTCGCAGGGGGATCCCAGACCCCTCAGAAAGAACTCGCAGACCGTCCGTGGAGGCGAATTCTCCCGGGGCCAGCAGTGAGGTAAGGCCCAGGGCGGCCACCAGACCCTCCAGCCAGGGCAGGCGGATGACCCGCCTCCTGGGATTTGGCCCGCGACTGCCACGTCGCCAGCTCCGCTCTGAAAACCTCCGGCCACGAAACCCAGCGGCCTCAATCCTGAGACGCCCAGGGAGCAGGGGCTGACCCTCTAGAAGCAAGATGGCGGCCTCCGCACTCCCCTCCTCCCCAAAAACCCCCTCCTGGTCCCCAAAAGAAAGACAAGGACATCGCGGTGCCGACGCCGAGATCCGGGAACCTCCGCGAGGCCCGCGGCCACTCCCGAGCCCCGGGGAGATGACTTCACCTCGCGGAGCTCAAAGAGCCGGGGGTGGGGCCGCCGGAGAGCACAGACAGCCCTCAGCACGCAAGGGGCGGAGGCCCGGCAGCCGGAGCCCTCCGAGCCATTGTTTTTCCGGCCTGGGCCGGGATCACCCTTCTCTCAGCCGGTGGACAGGAAGTCGCTCCCCAGCCGCCCCGCCCCCCTCCCCAGCGCCCCGGAAGTGATCTGCGGCGGCTGCTGCAGAGCCGCCAGGAGGAGGGTGGATCTCCCCTGAGCGAAGCGTCGGAGTCCTCCTCCTCCTCCTCCTCCTCCAGCCGCCCAAGCTCAGCCGCCACCCGTCAGACTCCTCCTTCGACCGCTCCCGGCGCGGGGCCTCCCAGGCCACAAGGGCCGAGTACCCTCCTGGCGGAGCCACGCAGCCGCGGCTTCCGGAGCCCTCGAGGCGGCGGACTGGCTCGCCGTTCAGGTGAGAGAGAGATGCCGGTTCGGGCCGCCGGGGGAGGCACTGGGGCCACCCGGGCGGTGGCGGGGGTGTGTCCAGGCGGCGGCGGGCCGAGGCCCAGATGCGGATTCGGGCTGCCGAGACTGTACGTCCCGCGTTCTGCCCTGGGACGAGCTGCGAGATGAGCTCGGCTGGAATCCGGGGCACCGCGTTCGCAGCTGTGGGGCGAGTACGTCCCCGAGAGCGGGCGGCTGCCCCTCCGAGTTGGCCTCGTCCGAAGGTCACCCCGCACAGCCAGTCCACTGCGCCCAAGTTCCCGCCCGGGCGGTGCCCGCGACCTGGGGCAACCCGCTGCCGCCGCAGTCCCCGCGCCTCACTCCGCCCCTCTCCCCTCCTTCCCTTTCTTTCCGCTCCTTGCCTGCACTAGAGCAGCTGATTTTTAAGCATCTCCGCCAGGATTTTTAAATTTGTTTTTTGGGGGTTTTTTTTTTTTTGCCACTTAAAGGAATGGGTTTTTCAGACTTAAGTCTTTAGACTCCCCGCACTGAACCGAATACCTGGCCTTGGGCGCTTGCACAGCTGTAGCCCGTGTTCAGGTAATCTAGCTTCTAAAATGAGGAAGAGAATGCATTTTGGAAGAGAGGTGTTCCCTCCGTGGTTCGTTTCTGAAAGATTTCCAGAAGTGGAAGATGTGATTGGCATGCTTTAGCCTGGGTGTATGTGTGTAAGTAGACGGGGGTGACGGCACACAGTGGTGGCAGTGTTGTTTCAGGATTTAGGGAGAATTAGGGAGTTAACTGGCCTTTGCCCGGAAATCTGAATGTCCAGACTTGTAAGAGCTCATCCAAGTGTCGCTGAGGTAGTGTGTGAAGTCCCATGCCACGCCCTACGTGTCAAGCTGAAAAGCACCTAATTTACAAATTGTGTGGTGTGTATGGGGAACAACCTTTATAAAACATGTATCTTAAGTTATTTTTTCCAGAAAATTGCAACGTTAATCATGTTCCAGAAATTGGATGCCAGATTTCATTAGTAAACTCTTACAGTATGTTTATTAATGTATTTCAGTGTGCCTTAGCTCACGTTTTTCTGTCTCTAGTAATACAATATTATTCTAAACTAGTTCTTGTACTGAAATAATACACTATTATAAAATAGTATCCTAAAACATCGTTTTCTGACCTTGAATTTCTTCAGGGCAGGAGCCGTGTCACTGTTTCTATGCAGTATGCCTTGAACATAGAAGCTGTTCACACATTCCTGCAGTGAGTGAGTGAATGTATAGGTTATCTCATAGTCACCAGCCAGGAGTTGCTTATTTTGTTGAGCTAGGCTGTTTGTTTTGTTTTAGGTTTGTGGCACATAACAGACTTTACTTCGGCTTTACATTCTTAAGCAGAGTCAAAGAATTATTTGCCTTCCAAAACTATTCTCCTCTGAAAGGTTAAAATTATATTAAAATTGTGCTGGGCATTATAATAACTTGTATTCCAGTGTTAAATGCTTACTATTTGAGCATATTCAGAGTTAGTAGGAAGAGATTGCCTGGTGATAACACAGCAAGTTTATGTTTGGGGTTGATAACTATACCCTATCTTAATCAAAAAGAGGAAATTAGAAATTACCACTGTTTGGAAAACGTGGTGCATCCCAGAATTGCTTATAGTGGTTTTTTGTTTCCACGAATACATATAATCTTCTGAGATCCTGATATGACCTTGGTATGATTTACCAATAGCCTCTTTTGTATTTATTTTCCGAGATCCAGATTTTGGTTTCTAGTGTGTTTGCTGAGTGTGCAGTTATATGTATCATTTATTTTGAAGCAGTACTTCATTATAACACTTTCTTCACAGGCTTTCCAAAGGAAAAGGGGGCTAATTATAGAAAACAACTTTGTCTACCATTTGTGAGGGAAGATTTTTGTCTATAGATGGTTGGATTATTTTCACATTAGGGAGGTTCAAAGAAGAAGTGCTGATGTTTTCTGTCCTCTCCAAGTATCTCATGGTGGTCCTGCACTGTTTTTCCAAGCTTAGCTTCTACAGAACATGAATAAATGTACCAGTGTCACTTCTTATAGATGTGTGGATTAGTGTAATAATGCAATCGTATTCTTTAGTAGATGAGTGGCTAGCACAATTATTTTTAAAATACTGGAATAACAGTCTGTGAATGTTAATAAGGGAAAAGATCATGATTTTGAAGAAGACAGTTAATGATTTTCATTGTTTTATAAAACCTTTTAACTTTTAGAGACTAAGGAATCGGAAGCCAGCAATTTCTTATCTCAGTGATATTACCACTATACAGAGGTTAGATTTTTCTTCAATTCAGCAACCCTCTTGGTGGTAAGAGTTCTCATCTGTTGATTGCCTACCAAGCACTGTGATAAGGGCTTTACTTATATTATTTCTAATCTCCACAACACTTCTGCAAGACAGGTAGTTTTCCCATACTTATTAAGGTAAATTGAGGTTATTTGCCAGCGGCTAACTACCTAGCTTGTGTGTAGTAGAGCCTAGATTTGAAAGTAACTATTTCTGAGAGGACTGAAATTGTTAACTGCAGTTAATCAATCCTAAGTGGCTGTGGAAAAGGCAGTTCTGATTGAGCCGGAAACCGGAGCTTCAGGAAAGCGAAGACCCTGATTCCTCTCAGCACTCTTGGACATCAAGTGTGGCCTGAGTTGCCAGTGGCCCTGGCCAAGTGGCCTCAAGCAGCAGCCATTCTTTTCTATCTTCAGTATGCCTACAAATACAGTGTTATCACCTTCTACGTGTGCCATGGTGGAAAATGGGTGGGCATTGTTCCATAGGTGTCCTGGTAAAGTATTTGAACTCAGTTCTGATGTTTGATTAGTGCTTTTTAAAGTAACAGAATCATCCCTATTTGAGAGGAATGCCATAAATCTATTTGTAGTGACCTTTTCTTGAAATCACATTGTTTTTTAGTTCTTTCACTAATGGAAATGGGGGAGAGCCTGTGGGGAACAGTAGAAAGAATGGTAAAAGAAGCAGATGTGCTCGGTCTGTTTTTAACCATTTGAGACCGTAACTCATTTTCTCTGGGTTTAAGATGGAGGCTTAAAGGTGGCAGAGGTGTTGTAATGGTCTAACCGCTATTCAGTGCTGGTAGAATTCTCTACCCTCTTTCTAAGCCTGTGTGCTTTTAAAAATGCACTTTTAAATAGACTTAGTTGAAGAATGTGTTCATCTCTCTTTCTCTTTTTTTAAAGATACACCTTTAAGTGAAGAACAGCTGATTATTTGGCCCCCAGCAGTAATAGTTATTCTGTTTTTTTCTTGAAGGCATCTTTCTTATTACCTTACCACGTTCCTAAGGATTTGGGTTGCCATATGGAAAAAAGGAAATTAAAGTTCTTTGGGTTTTTAAAAGATGTATGAGTAAATTTTAGATGAGAATTTGCATCTTTGATTTAATTATAAGTGAAGGTGATGACTTAGTTTCTCAAAGTCAAGAGGGTAGTCTGTACAAGCCAAAAAAGGCATGCTTCCATACAGTGATACTCTTCTTAAAGGTCTTCACAGCCAGAGTCCTGTATTAGATGCAGTAGACGTAACAACAACATACGTAATATCCTTAAAGTCTGGGATCCAATTTTATTGCTGAATTTACTTTCGAAACTAAATGTCAGGATTCAATAATGTTATTTTGGACAGTAAGTCACAGTTAGATTTTAACATGGCTTATACTCCCAGATTTATTGGGAAGGGGGACAAAGATCCCCAGTTTCCAAAAGATTATGATTGTGGTCATCTAAGCCACAGGATCTGTTTTTTATGTAGCTGACAAGCTAGCATAGTACTCTGTTGAAAGTGGAGGTTGCCACACTGAGTGACTGCACCCTGAGTTCAGCTGCCCTGTCTAGATACTTTGAATTACCACAGCAGCCTTCTAGCCTGTGGTTGGAACCCATCTGATCTTTTCCTATTCTTGCTTGGAATGATGGGGATATTCCTTCTTGTGACTCTTTTATGCCCATTAATAAAATTCAGACTCCATTTATCCTTAATCTCATATACAGAACCTTCAAGATGTACTCCTTACCCCTCTTCCCCCCGCTTTATCTTTCATGTTTTTTATTTTTTTATTATTTTTCTTACCTAACCCTTTAGCCTTATTTCTTTTCCTGGATGATCTTCCGTTCTAGCAATACTCAGGTCCTGGAAGGCTAGTGTTTGTTTGCTCAGTGCTTCACTTCCTCTTCCTGGAATGCTAGCCTCTCTTCCGTCCCCTAACCTCGGGTATATTTCTACTGGTCCTTCAGAACTCCTTTTAGGTTACACTTCTCCCACAAAAAAATTGTAATTAGGTTCTCTCTCTGGATCCCATCCCTCAAAAAAAAAAGAAAAAACTTCAAGACTGGGCTAGTTGCTTCTCTTACATCTGTTGCAGCTCTTACTACACTAGAGAGAGTACTTTCATTGGCCTATTGTAAATTTTGTTGACAACAATCCAAACAATCCACAGTAACCTCATAACTATACACACACATTTTTTCTCTCTCTCTCTTAAAGGCCTTCTTTGGCCATGGCGGCTGACGCCTGCAATTCCAGCACTTGGGGAGGCCGAGGTGGGTGGATCATGAGGTCAGGAGTTCGAGAGCAGCCTGGCCAATATGGTGAAACCCCATCTCTACTAAAAATATAAATATTAGCCAGGTGTGGTGGCATGCATCTGTAGTCCCAGCTACTAGGGAGGCTGAGGCAGAAGAATCGCTTGAACCTGGGAGGCAGAGGTTGCAGTGAGCTGAAATTGCATCACTGCACTCCAGCCTGGGCAACAGAGTGAGATCTGTTTCAAAAAAAAAAGAAAAAAGGCTTTCCTCACAGGCCTTTATCAGTCAAGTCCCCAAACCTTCTCAGTTCATGGCATCCTTAATATTATGGCAGTAATTTTTTTCACAGCATCCCGAGGTCAAAAGAAACACCTGACAGTTGAGTTTATTAAGTAATTAGGTCCAAACACCTTAAGTATTTATCTCCTAACAACTCAGTAGCTATGTGGAAAGACAATATACATAAACTAAAATCATTAACTGTAATTTTTAACTGCATAGTACTCTACTGTATGTACCATAGTTTTTTCAACTAATGCTCCGCTTGAACATTTATGAAATTTCTAGTATTTTGCAATTACAGATGATGTTACAGTGAAAAACTTAGTGTACCAAATATCTTTGTATTGTTGGAGATAATCTTCGGGGTAAATGCATATGGAGAGTTGTTAGATACCTTCAAACTCCTTGTCCTATGGGGTTGTACTCTTTTACATTCTTACCAGCAGTGTATGAAAGTAGAGTGCCTGTTTCCCCACAGCCTCACCAGCAGAGTGTTTTGTCAGCTTTTTAATTTCTGCCGATCTAATAGGTAAGAAATGATATCTCAGTGTAGT